GTGATCGAACACATAACACAAGGCTTCGAAAACCCCTCTGCGTTCAGTGTAGGCGAACAAGGGGAATCTGATTAAGTACTCAGCCATGTGCGAGGAAGCAGCTTTGACCAGTGCTCCTAAGACCGCTTTGCCCATGCCACAGGTCAGAGCAATGGGTCTGAGATCGGAGGGGGTGGTGACAGTGCGTTTTGCCAAAAGTGTCAAAGCAGCGTCCTTCCATTCAGTCGGAATCGAAGGACATGGATGATGCCAGGTGATCTCCAAGTACCTATACAGCCAACTTGCAAGCTGGGGTGCAAAATGCTTAAGGATTAATGGTGGCAGGGTGCCTGAGGCTACAGCTTTATCAATTTTCGTGGCTCGAAGTTCATGCTCCAGGTCAGCCTGAGTGAAAGGCATTGTCATGGATTGCAATGCGGGAAGATCTGAGGTTGATGCACAAAAGATGGCTTCGAAATGAGCCCTCAAGGCATGGAGCTCTTCCTGCGGCGTTTGTGCAATTCCGGCTTGGCAAAATCGAATCTGCCTACGTGGCTGCTTCGGAGTCAATGATCTGATGGCCATGTATAAACGTTTGGAGTCATGCCTATATGCTGCTCCGGTGGCCTCCTGGATGACTTTGTTCACACGTTCTTGACGCTTGGCTTGACAGTGCTTGCGAAGACGAGTCCTAAGCTTAAAATGTTGGCTGATATGATGCCAGGCTTGAAAGACTTGGACTATGTACGAACGAGTGCAAGACTGAGTATTGCGCGCAAGGTGAAGGTGTCTCCACTTCAAGGCTACCAAGGACCTGGTGACAGGAAGATTCCATGTGACTTCAGGTTGCGCAGGTGAGGCACGAAAATGGTTAGAGCATGCTTGAACTACTTGGTTAGTAAACTGTTGTGGTGCAACATGCTGCATGGAATCTTGCCTCAACTGCTGATCAAGCTGGGACTCGAAGGATTGCCAGTGGGGGGAACCAGAGTTCCACTCCTGGCGCATGGTCTGCATGGTGGCTCTGGACAAATGAGACGCTGCAGTGCGAGTGCGACAATACCAAGCCTTCCAGTTCAATGGGATGGTGGTCACAACGGGTGCATGGTCGGGATAACCACGATGAGTGTTCAAGGGAAAGGTCCTGATACAACGTGCTTGACGCGACAGTTGATCCAGTTGTGGACGGCGTGCAAACAGGTAGTCAATAGTCGAGTGACCTGCAGGACCAATATATGTAGGGCCAGGATCATGAACTCTGACTGAGGCCAATGAAAACCGATCGACGATTGCCTTGAAGGCTGCCTGATCAGGAAAGGATATCGTTTGGCTTGTTGAGGCCACCAAGGAACAATTGTAGTCACCTGCGGTGATGAGAAGATTCCGAAATGGCAGTTTAGCTAACAGATCCTCCCATGCATGCCAAAACGAATCACGAGCTCGAAGCGGGTCGGGTCTATTTCTGGCAGGGTTATTAGGATGCTGGTAGCAATTTACCAAGTCAATGGTGATATTATCCAAGTGACAACGTGTGTGTTGGAGCCGACCTTCAAGGATGTTGGCATGGCTGATGGCGGATGTCGGACAAAGCTGTGTGCGAATGATGGTAAGAAGTCCATCGTGTGCATGGTCCTGTGCAGGAGATGGCACTAATGCGAAACCGTTGCTTTCCCAAGGTTCGTCAATCCCCCATCTTGTCCCTTGAACGAAGCAAACATCTATCCTGTAAAGAGAGAGCCACAGGAGCAGTTCATGATACGTGTCGGTGGTAAGTCCACCACAGTTCCAGGTCATGCAGCTTAGTCTCGGTCCCGAGGCCTTGCGGGGTGGCCGTCTCGGGGGCGTCAAGATCGAAGGGTCAGCTGGTGCGGAAACAGGCTGAGTATGAACTTGTCCACGATATACGCAGAAACCAGTTTGCTGCAATCGCTTCATTGCCCTTGCAAAAGATCGTTTAACAGGTAGGCGCCTTGCCCTCAATTTGGTCTCGAAAGACCCTACTTGCCCTGTACCATGTCTTTCAGGGATAGTATCATGAGACACATACAAACTATCCCTTTCGAGGCACTGCATGGTCAGTACCTCACCCTCACCCCTACCGTCCAAAAACCCATCGAAAAAACTGTTCGACTGGTGTTCAAGCCACTCGTTCACGTCGAAGCAGTCCATGTGGACGGTCCTGGAATTGGGACCAGGCGGCACGCAAGGTGCAGTGTAGCGCAGGATCACCAGCAAGGCAGTCCATGGCCATCGGAGCATGGCGGACCGGCGAATCTCCGCTGGTGGAGGGCGGTGTCTTGCACCATCTGTGCCGAGGGGCCAAGGACGCTACTACGGGCTCCTGGCATCGCTACTAGCAGCAAGGAC